CGCCCCAGGCACCCAGGACCCCCAGATCCATCCTAGCTCTATGTGATCACAAAAACCACGGGGTTGTTTGTGGCAGAGCGAGAGGTTTTCCTCAAGAGGGTACAGTGTGAGGGAGGAGAGTCGACGATTTTGGCAAGGGATGGATTGGGTGTGAGGCCTGGCTTAACAGTCGGCTCCGTTGACCCCAGGGAGGCCACTTCATTTCTCCAAGCCTCAGTTGCTCCATCTGTAAGATGGATTCCATAATAAATCTCCTCTGTGGGTTTGCTAGGGGAAATAAATGAGCCAGTGCTGAGAAAAGATGCACTGGGGTGCCTCAGGAAATGGCAGCCGGTGGCCCCAAGAGCACTTAATAGAAGTGATCAGTGGCTTGACAGGATAGAGGAGCTGGTCGATGTAGACTCGTTGAATGAATAAATGAACGAAGTATCATTGGGATGAGACTGCCCCCTGCCCTGTGTCATGGGTGTCCATCTCTCTGTGACCCCCAAGTCTCCAACCGTCAAGTTGAAGCTGTTTGTTCCTTCCTTGGAGGGTGAGGGTACCACAAAGAGGTTGTGGTCATAGTTGACCGCAAGTCAAGGATGACTCAACTGGCTGGGGTTCTTGTGAAAGATAGTCAGGGGTCAGAGGTGGCTGGGATGGGAGTGGGGACGTAGATTCTAACTTCAGCTCTTCAGAGAGGCTCCCCTCAACCCACCGCAGAGGGTGTGGAGGGGTGGAGCTTCCCTGGTGCCAAAGGAGGGAGGGCCAAGGTGATGGCTCCTGTGGGGCTGGGGCATTGGGGCCCTCTAGTGAACACACTTCCTGAGCCCCTACTGTGCACGGAAGTAGGTGGGGACCAGGCCTAGACTCTGCCCTTGAGTAGTTCAGAAGCAAGTTGCCCAGAGGAGACAGTGATCCCAGTCAGACGGTGCTAAGGAGAGCTGAGGCAATCAGAGAAGGCTTCCTGTAGGAGGCAGGCTTTGCAACATGAACGTCCCAGACCGTGTCAGGGGTGGCAGCAGGAGCCATGGGCCAGGAAGGCCTTGGGTGTGTGTGGGACACCAGGATCCTAGTTTCTTTGGAATAGAGAATGAGGCAGGGGTGGGCAGCCTGGAGAGTATGGGGGTCAGCCCATACCCCCAGGTGGCCTCTTACCTGGCAGGAGGAGGAGGAGGTTGTAGGTCAAGGTGGCTGTTAAAAGTGTGACCCTGGGGATCACTGAGTTGAAATCCTCTGCTATTTTGGGTTGTACGGCAGCTCGCCTAACCTCTCTGCCTCTGTTTTCTCATCAGGCAAATGGGAATATTGAGGGCCATGGACCTCACGGGGCAGTTGTGCAGATTCAACAAGGCCAAGCTTGTCAAGAAGAAACACTAGCTTCCCTCCATCGGCAGCAGCAGCAGCAGCGGCAGCCTGAAGCTGGCCGATCCCACAGGCATGGGGCACAGGGTCAGGAGGAAGGGCTGGATGAGGGTTTTGCAACTTGCCCTAACTGCTCTGGCCTCCCTGTTCCTGGGTGGTGATGAGCAAAGCCCCAGACTGGAGAAAACAACGAAACAGCCACTTCCTTCCTCGCCGGGGTCCTGTGCACTGTGGCTGCCAGCCAGCAGAAAGGCAGAGGCGAAGCTGCTCTCCAGCCCTGGCCACGCCCTGGCCCCCCGGTGTGCCCCTGGAGCCTTGGTCCTACTCAGTGGGGTTCTGGGGCTACACCCTGTGTTTGTACACCATGCAAACAACATTCTCGTCTCTAAAGGCTCTCAGGTCTCCCCCTCCCTTGGGAGGGGTGTCTCAGTTTTCTTTTGGCCTAAACAGAGGCTGTTCTCCAACATGTGGGGACCCTTGTCCTTCTAGAGTCTTTCTTCCTAATTCTCTCTTGACCTCCCAGCCTTTTCCATCCATCCCCATGGCCGCCGCCCCTCGGTCAAGCAGCCGCATCACTGGTCTCCCTGCTTTATATCTGTACTTTCAGAACAACCACGATTACCCTCAGGTCACCACCATTATCAACCGAGGACAACAGATGGCTGCCTGTACCTGCCCCCCCAACCAAAGCCCAACAGAAACTGCTGATAACCTCAATGCCAGCACCACCAGCTCACATCAGACAGAAAAACACTGACGGATTCCACCACCTGTTTCCCCATCATCACTCACCACCATCACCACTTATTATCACCAGCACCAACAACCCATAATAACCAACCACCATTGACAGTAACAACCGCGATTGCAAGATAGTAGCCATCAACAACCACACATGACCCCTTAAAGCAGCAGTCAACCATACCCCTTTCCAAAACCAGGGACGCACCACCACTAGTCCCAAGACCGTCACCCCAAATCAGCAATGAACGACCAACGGCAAACAAACATCATCGTGACCACCTGACTTCAAAGGATGGCCAGCTGCCATCGTTCCACAGATCAACCCTCCAGCTGAAGACAACCAACCGCCAACCACCAACATTCAACACTCGCCAGCACCAAAAGCAACCATTACTATCACCAGCCCACCCACGAGAACCGTGGGCACCACCAACTTGGGACAACTGACAGCAATGACCACCATCACAGCCAATGGCACCAACAACCCAACTCCTCTACGGGAACCAAGAAGGAGGCACATCCACCCACCACCACCGCTAACCCCCACCGTGAATGAGCGTCACCCACAGCGGCAGTTACCGTGCATTGAGCACGTATTATGTGCTCTTTAAAGCACTTTACGAACATCGTTTCACTGAATCTTTCGACACTCTTCCTGGCACCCATGACACCTCCAGGAAGATGTCAGCACCCCTAGACAGAGGGATTGGCCTCATGGATGGATTCCACTTTTTTTTTTTTTCTCTCCCTGTGGTCCTCTTGCATGAGTTTCTCCCTTCCCAGACACGGTTGGCCAAGCAAATCATTGACTAAGCATTTCACACAGCTTCCTCAAGAGGGGCTGCTTTTCTCTCAAGTAGCAAATCATTTCCTGTGTTCTTTTGATCAAGGAGTCTACCTGGCTTGGCTCTGTCTGGGAAGAGTTTCCATCCCAAGCCCAGAGCTCTAGCTGGTGGTTTGCTTGTGAATTAATCAAAGGGGTCCTTGGACAGTGATGCCCAATTTATCACTGACTTTCTGAAATAAGACATTCTCTCTCAGGCTAAGGCAATCCTTGCCTCCACCTTGGTTAGCCGCCTGCCGCAACTGCCAGAAACACTACAGGTGTCACCACCAGCTCTGTGACTGTCCCAGCCACCCACCCTCATTAACAGAATGACAAAAAATGAAAGCTGAAGTGGTTTGCAGAGGCACGGAGTCGTGGAGTGACATAGCCAGCCCAGGCTCCCTCTTGATGTGTGTGACATGATACTACTGCATCTAGACCCAGGACCATGACAGTCTCCCCAACCCTGTCACCACTGGCATCATCAGACCTCAGTCTCCCCAGGTGGCAATGCTTCTGGCTGCAGTGTTTTTCCCTGCCACCCTCCCGGAGAAGGGTACCGGTGGTGGGACGGACATGCTGCATCTCACCAACTCCTGCTTCTGTGATTGCTACAGCCAGACCACCCCGTCGCCCACACCAGCATGCTGTCACGCCACCATCACTGCAACCCACCGCCCATGTGACCCATCTGACACAGCTTCCCCTCCCAGCTGTGGACGCAGAGGGGCTGAATCCCAAACCCTCTGAACGTTCCAGTGGAGAGATTCCCCCAGACACCTTCCACATCTTGACAAACTTCCAAATATGACATATGTGGGAACTGAGACTCACAGAGGGGAAGTGACTTGCCCAAGGCCACACAGGAAGGTGAGGCACCAAACTCGGCTGGGAACTGGGTTCCCTAAGCCCCAGGAAAGGGATCTGTCCCTGTCCCTGCAGGCACTGTGTGATCCCTTAGGACCATCTTCTGTCCTCCAGTTACTGCTCCGTCCTTTGGTGCCCCATCCCCATTCTGGCATCCTGTCCACCAGCCGATGGGAGTTTGGTCCCCTGTGAGGGATGCTGGCAGCACCTGAGCTGCACAGAGGGACCCCAAAGGGTCTGCTGTGCCCATTCTCATCATCCCACTTTCTGATGGTGGCCTCTAGGTGCCTCCACCTGGCTGGTGCCGCCACCCCTGCACTTGAGGGCCCACCCTGAAGGACTTACCATGGTGGGGGCTGGTGTCTGGGTCCCTGGGGGATGTCTGAATGGGTCGTGGCAGGGATGCAGGCTCAGAGGGCTCCAGGGGGCGGCTTGGGCATGGCCCTGTTCCTGCTGCTTCAGCGGACTCCCAGACCTAGTTCCTCTTATGACAGCCCCCTTCTCACTTCCTTTGGCGGGAGGGGCCGCGACTAGAGGGGAGGGAAGCTGGGCCTGGGGGGCGGGGAGAGAGCCCAGGCAGGGCCGAGGGAGCTGGTTGTTTGGGGCTCTGAGCCTGAAGGGAGAGGTTAAGGATGGATGACAGCCGCTGTCAGACCCCAGAAAGCCGCTTCTCCAACTCCTCTGGGACGCGGCTGCAGCAAACTGCGCTGCAGGTCAGCTGGCTGCAGGACTGACTGCTCCTTCCTGGGCTTCGAAACCACTTCAGATGTATGTCTCCTCTGGGCATCCCCGAGCAAACTCCCACCTCCAGAGCCGCTTCGGCTGGTCCTTCCTCCAGAAGGGACCTCGGGAGCCAGGTGTGTTTGTGTCAAGGGGAGGGCAGCGGGAGTGGCGGGTACCAAGAACTGAGAGCACCTGGAAGGTCCCAGACTTCGGATGTCACACCTGGAATTAATGACCCCCAGGTCTGTTACTTCCGGATCTCCCCATTTTGTCATCGTAGAACGGCGGCACCTGGCACACGTGGGATCCAAGGGTCGGCCCATCTCCGGATCTTTGGGAGACCAGCAGGAAACGGCAGTTCCTAGAGGCTGTCATCTGATACACATCGAGGAGGTAGCGGGGGCAGAAGCCGACCCTGGGTGAGCCTGGCAGGGAGGGCTGTGACCAGGGGTATCCCTGGGCTCCCGGCAGCACACCACACCCTGCCTAGAGGCTGGCACGCCTCGGCGCCCCCTAGTGGCCACATCTGGGGAGAAGCCCGTTTCTCCCTGGACCTCCTGCGAAAGTTTGCTCAACCGACTGGCTTGGCTTCCGCAAACCTCAGCAATGCTTCCAGCCACTAGGAGTGAAGAGTCTGGAGGACCCCCACCTCGTTGAGGGCGTCAGGGGAGGCTTCTGGGAGGAGGCGATGTTTGTGCTGAGAGGTGAGTTGGAGTTAACTAGGTGAACAGGGAAGGGGAGGGTACACCTGGCAGAGGAAACAGCTCTAGCAAAGGTCCCAAGATGGGAAGAGGGTAGGGAGATTGAGGGACTTCCGGGAGTCCAGCGTGACTGGAGCCTGCAGAGTGACAGGGAGTGTGGTGGCTGGAAGAGCAGGCGCCAGGCTGTGTTGCTTAGAGCGCCTCCGTGAGAAGCTGTATTTTTGACCTAAAATCACTGGTTTCTAGTCTGTGTTGGAACAAGTCCCCTTTGGCCTGTTGGGGCCGACCCGCGGGGGGCTGTGGTCGCTTGCAGGATCGGGGGTAGGGGACAGCTGAATGTGACCCAGTCTCACTGACACACACCCCCCCACGCACGGAAATCTACACAAGACAGAACTTTATTGATGTAGGGCTTCCTGGCGAGGGGTGTGTGGGCCCCAGGGCAGGGCCTGTAGCACCATGATGGGGGTGGCCTGGATGACATGGTCCCCCTGGGGCAGGCAGGGCACAGGATGGGGTGGATCTTCCCAGCTCTGCCTCCCGCTGTAGCTGGTCTGGTTAGGTGGAGGGTGTCAGGGAGGTCGTGCTAATCCCCTCCCCCGTGGCGGACATAGATTCCCCCCCAGCTCAGAGTGGAGGAGTAGGGCAGTGCTGGGGCGGGGGGCAGGGCACCGGCTGACCCCCTCCCCACCCCCACTCTTCACAGTACATATTCCGATCAAAGGCGGGGGTTGTGCTGGGGGTCTCCCTAAGGGTGGGTGGCAAGAGCATTAGGGCGAACAGTTGTTCCCACCTCAAACCCACCCTGGAGGGGGTCTCATTCTGAACTGGGAGACGGGAAAAGGAGGGGCCGTGGGCGTGGCCAGCCCCTCTCCATCCCCCTCAGCCAGGAGCCCCGCAAGAGTTCCCAATAAATAACTTCCGGCTCCGTCTCACCCTTCACTCCCAGCTCCTGCCCCCCTCGGGCTCCTTCAGGCTGGCCAGCTGCAGGCCTGGTCGCCCCACCCCCATCCCCAGCCGGCCCCCAGCCTTGGCTCCGAGGACCGTGCGCCCTCTAGCGGCCTTGACAGGTTTTGCAGCACATTTGGCGGAAGTAGGCTCGGCTGCAGAACTGAAATTTCAGCACCAGGGGGCAGTAGGCGACCTTGTTCACATCCTTGCACTCTGGAGGGGGCGGGAGAAGAGTAGGTGAGGGGAATCAGGTCTCAGCACCCCTTCTGGCAGCGGCGCGACCGCAGGCTGCACAGCGCTTCCTAGCTCCTCTGTGCCTCGGTTTCCTCACCTCTCAAAGGGGGCTTATACCAGTAACTATGTCATTAGGTTGTTTTGAGGATGTTGGGAGGGAAGTGCAGGTCTGGGGCTGGGACACCGTGCTACACCACGAGAAAAGTGTTCCTTTTCCAGTTATCTGTTTGGAGCTGTAATCCTTGCTCGTTTCCCTTTGTAACAGACTGAGGACCTTGAGCTCCAGAGCAGTCACTCCTCTCAGGGTATTTGTGCAGTTTGTGTTCAGGGTAATTGACAGTCTGTTCATGACAATGGACCAGGGTTCCCAGTTAGCAGTTAATGATGTATGACAGGGCCCGGTGCTAATAAAGGGCTTCACGTGGATTATTTTAGTCCCTCTCCCTAACAGGGCACTCCCTCAAGTGAATATATTAAACGCCTCTTGATAGATAAGAATACGAAGGCACGGAGGTGGAATGTGAATCCAGGCAGTTTGGTTCCGGTGCCCTCAGTAAGTAACCTATTGCTCTCTATGAAACATAAATTTACTTAGGTAGAAAAAAATGGGTATATTTAAAGCAGTGGTTCTCAAGGAGATGCGATTTTGCCTCCCAGGGGACATTTGGTGATGTCTGGAGACATTTTTCAGTTTTCACCACGGGGAGGAGGGGTACTATTGGCATGCAGCAGGTAGCGGTCAGGGATGCGGAACCCCCGACAATGCATAGGGCAGCCCCCGTGACAAGGAATCATCTGGCCCCAAACATGAATAGTGCCTGAGGCTGAGAAACTGATTTAAAGAAAAATATCGGGCAGATAATGTTCTACATGGAGATGATCAAGGTGAAGGTCATGGAGGTGGCTGGAGGAATGACCTGAGTTTGGGCCCCCAGAAAAATCAGGTGCCTACAACGCCTGGCGCACAGTGGCACCTAATACATGTTGGCAGGCAGGGAATGGTGAAAGATGGTCTGGAGAAGACAGAGAAAGGCATTTCCGTGGTTGCAGAAGCTCTAGGGCCAGTGGCCTGGAGCCCCAGCTCTCCTGTCTATGGCGTCCTCTGGACAGGACCCTCCTGGTTCCCTCCCCGCCTCACATACCTTCCAGGCCGTCGCCGGGGGGCGCGCTGTCACACTTGGCCTCGCACTGCTGCGTGGCGGGGGGCCGCAGGGCGTCCGCGCACTCGCGTGAGGGCTGCCCTGTGTGGCTGGAGCAGCGCACCGGGCGCTGTTGCTGCCCGAAGCCGCACTGCGCGGAGCACTGTGGGGAGTCGCGGATGAGCCGCAGCCCAGCGCGGCCACCCACCCTGCCACCCGTGCCCTGGTTCCCGCCCTGCAGGGCGCGCCCGCCTACCTCACCCCACTCTCCCGCCACCCAGCGGGCCGGCGGGCAGCGGCGCAGGTTGCAGCGCATGGTCGCCGGCGGCTTGGCCGCGGGCGGGCAGTGCGTGGGGGGCAGTGTGGCGCGGTGATCTGCGCTCTTACAAAGGACGACACGGTGGCGGAGGCCCGGCCCGCAGCTGGGGGTGCACTGCAGTTGGAGGGGGCGTTTCATGCTCAGTGGGCGCCTCCCTCCCCGCTCACACAAGGAGTAGGAAGGATGCTGGTCCGCTGGGAGGTGAGGACGGTACAGCTAACTTTGGACCAGTCACGGTGGGGGCCGGGGGGCTCACTAGGGCTAGCGGGAGTGGGGAGGCGCCTCAGTGTGCACCCGACATGAGCAACCCAGGCCCCTCCCTGCTCTGCACAGGGCGGGAAGGGGCGGCTGACCTCAGACCAGTCGAGGGCGGCCCACTCTGGAGGGCAGGCCGGGCCGTGGCAGGCCTCCAGCACCGGTGGGCGCGGCTGCGGGCAAGCGCTGTCGTCCAGCGCCTTCTCCTCGGCGGCCGACACGCGGCGCTGGCACACGACGGAGCGGCTGCGCACGCCCGCATCACAGCTGCGGCTGCAGCGCGACCAGTTTCCTACGACCCAGCTGTGGGGGGAGGGTTAGTCTGAGACAGGACGCCGGGCAGGCCACCCTGAGCTTGGGGCACGAGCAGATCCTCCTCCTCGTCAACAGGTAACATCATTGTGGAAGCTGGCACCGGGATGCCTGTTGCCCCCGTGCCCCACACCTCGAACTCAGAACAACTTTCTTCTGCACCCACATTGGGGGCTGGGAGGCGCATCATCCCCAGGGGAGATCACCTGGACTTGGCCAGGGAGCACCACTGCTCTGACTTTGACCTCACCTTAGGGAGCACCCACTCCTCTGATCCCAGTAGCACCGTCACTCCAGTGCTTGCCATCCCGACCCTGCACCCTGGCAGGCACTCACTCGGGTGGGCAGGGCTCTGTGTTGCAGGCACGCTGCCTCTTGGGTAGCTTGCTGTGGGCGCTGCAGTGGTGCGGAGCCACGGCTGAGCTGTCCAGCTGGTTGCGGCACTCCACAGCCTGCACCTGGCTGCCTGGGGGCGGGCGAGAGGTCTGCTCAGCCCTGCCCGACCCAGAAGGTCAGCCTGGTGACCAGGACCTGCCCCACCCCGGCCCACCCCGGCCTCACCGCCTGCACACTGGGCCGAGCACTTGGTCCAGGGCGCGTAGTGCCAGGAGTACGGAGGCAGTGCATCTCGGGTGATGGGTGCATTGAAGCGGTAGCGGAGGACCGGCAGCTCAGTCCGGGCCAGCACCTGGGGTTGTAGGTGGGGATCAAATGGAAATCAAGTTCGAGGCCCCACAAGGATGCTAATGTTCTCCTGCACCTTGCTCCCAGCCCTGCTGTTACCATGATGATGAGAGATGCGTTAATGGGTCCCAGGGCTTCTAGGCTCTGGGTCTGATCCGGCCCTTGTCGCAGCTGAAAGGTGGTCCCGGCCAGGGGCAGGCGGTGGGGCTGGGGGGTCCCAGGCAGCCCCTCCAGCAGCAGGGACTCCTGGTCCCCCTTCAGGGCTGGGGGACAGCATAGGGGTCAGAACCCCAGCCACGCTGACGCCGCCCCTGCTGACCCCCCGTCCTCATCCTCCCACCTCTGGCTCACCCAGGTGACTGAGGGAGAGGTTCAGGTCCTGGATGAAAATGTGGACGGAGCCTTTGGGGATCCAGACGACTTCCTCGTACCCTGGACAGTGGAGCTCAGATGTCACCCACTTGGCCCTTCCCTGCACCTGCCTGTCTCCCCCATTCCTGGTCCCTGATGATAACAACTAACCATTACCATGCTAAGCACGTACAGAGACATGCCACCTCATCCGCAGCTCTGACCTTGTGAAGTTAGATGTGTCATCACACCCACTTTACAGATGACAAAACTGAGGCTCAGAGAGACAAAACAAATTGCTCAGGTTCCACAGCTAGGAAGTGGCTGGGCTGGGATTTGAACCCACACTTTCTCACCTCTCAAACCATCAAAGTGGCCCGACCCGCCCCCCACCCCCCAACAAGCAGCAGGGCTGGGCTTGGGCAGAGGGAAGGGGGCACCGCGGGGCCCTGACCCACACAGGGTGACTTGGCGGTTTGAGCAGTCAGAGTCAGGTTTGCAGTGAGCTCCATCGCTTACGACCTGGATGATCTTGGGACCCTGTGAACCCTCTATCCCTGCCCACCTGTGTCCCCCCTAGTTTATCTGTACCCCAGGACTATCCCCTGAACTCCACACTTGGCCCTCAGTGTGTGTTTGGTCCCTTAAGCCCACCTCCCCTCTCCCACCTCACGGGGGTCTCTTCCCTTCAGCCCAAGGTTGGGAGGCATTCAAGTTCACCACACCCTGCAGCTATCCCCACCCCTAGGAAGCTCTGT